ACCATGTGTGTGTGTGGGAAATTTTGCTCTTGCTTCAGTGACCTTAGCATTATTATCAGATATTAACTGCGATTGAATTGGACAAGAAACTTGGCCGCAGTGAATCTCTGGGATATGAAAAACTTTTTCAGTAAATAACCGACTTAATTTTGTAATTCTGTTTACTAAAAATATCTTGAATTCTTCATTTTCAGGTCCAAATTTATGCCGTGCAATACCAAAATAATTTTAACGCACTTGGCAAAGAGTGAAAGAATCACGAATTTAAATATTCTTCCCATGGAGTTGATCGGAATAAGTCAGCAGATTTTGGTCCTTACGACACAGCAAGCAGTAAATTTCATTCAAGAAAGGGAGGGTCACAAGTTTGCCAGTTCTTAGCTGTGATGTGTCATCCTCAGTAAATAAATTTATTCTAATTGTTATTACTCTTCATCTGTATTTTAATATCAAACATGTTGCATGTCAATGTGCATGTTGTGCCTTGTGCTTCTTGTTTTCGAATCTGCTCTTCTTTAGAACGAACAAGATTTTCAACGGGTGATGTACAGTGCTCACTTTGTTGACCAATGGATGTGGCTGCAAGTTGCTGTTCATCTTCAGAAGTGGGTTGCTGAATCTCAGTTTCAAATTCTTTCTTTCTCTTCTTTGGTGGTGCAGGGGAATACCACACTTCGGCCTGAACATTGATTCTCTTCCAGTTTGTTCCAGGGACATCCCGGACACACCGGAACCGTTCCTAATGACGGCTTCCTCCAAGTTCACCTAACAGTTTTCATCGTCAAGATAGCGAACTCGTATTTGATCGCAACTTATACCCTGAAATGTTTCGGTAATCTCTTTCACTCTCCTTACAAATCCGTAATAACTGAAATCGTCCGTCGAAGAAGTGAAAAAAGTTTTGCATTTTTTAAAATCTGGTCCGTAATAGACCTTAACTTAGTACACAGCCATATTGCTGACCCCGGTTCGGAAAACAGGAGCGAAGCGCGAAAATACCACGTGATCAGTCTGGGCGCTCCAAATGGTCACTTGAGCAAGCCCAGAATTCAAATGCAATCGATGGTTTTTTCTGGGGTGATAACAGTTTAGTGATTTCGGTAGTAATTGCAGTGTGAGAAGATAAAACAGAGGTGTTGCAAAGTTTTCTTTCCAGATTGAATTCAGGTGAGAAAATTGGTATACTAGTTAATGTCATATGCTTCTCCTGAGTCTTAAATTATATTGCCCTGGTTTTTTTTTTGCAAAGCCTCTTTTATATCTGTTTGCAAGCTAATGATTGAAATCTCAGTGAACAAAAATGCCACATTTTAGTAGTTTTTTTAAATTCCTTCTGTAAGTTTTCGACATTAACTGTTCTAAAATTCATAACCGGCATTTCTTTTCCATCCTTGTAGAAATATTACACATTTCAATAACTAAAAACCTGAATCATGAAGTCAACTTAATTTCAATGAGTTTACTGGAGTATGATGTTACATTTATTCACTGTCTTTCTGGTGCTTATGACAGGTGTCTTAACCCTTTATCTCCCAAGATTTCATCAGAAATTCTCATAATTGTCTGCCATATAATTTATGTGATGTAAGTTTAGAGAAATCGGAATTTGATCAAGCAATAATCCCCTAATTAATATTTTTCTTTATTCTCATTACTTGTCTGCTTGATATCATATTGATAGTGTGAGGAGAAATTCTGTCTTGAAGTCTCTAGTGGGACCTTTTAGTGTTAAAATTGGGAATTTCATTATATTTTAATGTTAAAATATTCTTATGCTTTCAAATGTAGCAAAAAAATGTGATGAGAATGGGATGTCATGAAACACTTACGATGGGAAAACCTGTTGCCGGTAGCTTATGTCTTTAATGTTTAAATTTTCATGGGAAATGCTTTTCTTTGAAACCAGGGATACAGGAGTTTTCAAAGATGATAGAAATAAGCTGTTTGCAAGTAATAAAAAGTAAGTCGACAACCACACTTTAATGCTTGACATGCTTTACTTAGACATGTTAGTTGTACGTACCTATAACCATTGTAGAAGTGTCTCTAAAAAGATTTTTTGGTGTAGCTGTTGTTCTTTGTTAATCTTTGTGGCCAAAAAGGCTACCATTAAGGCACTGAACTTCAATTTTTTTGTACCAAGGCAGTGTCACCCTCCAAGGTGAAAGAGTAGAAGACGATAGAGTGATGTTTATAAGGCACTTGCACTTACTGCAATCACATATTCAAGTAAAACTTTACATTTACAGAACTGATCACATGATGTCTCTTTACATCCCAAAATCAGTATGCATATTCTCCATACTGTTCTCTATACAATTCCTAACGTGCAGGCAGGGAGAATTTGTTTAACAATCAAGAGATTCTTCAATTGTATATCATTTCCTTTATTCTCATAACTTAATGTTTGACTGAGGGGTGATATTGAAAGGAGAAATTAGATGTTAGTCACTCTCAGGGATTAATAATAACTGTATATCTAGTGGAGGCTATGAAGTAAGTTTTAAAAAGGAGCAGAATATAAAATGTGTACAGTTATTAATAATAATAATAACTGTACACATTTTATATTCTGCGCCTTTTTAAAACTTACTTCATAGCCTTCACTAGATATTTATTCAAATAAGATAGTCAGTATCAGTCTGACATTCACTCTCACTTTCCACTGAGCTTGTGGAAAGATAATAAACTCAGTATTTCTTTAATTCTCTTACCACAGATAGGTTTTTTTGTGCATTATCAGTACAAACCTGGCCCCGGTTGTTTGAGGGTTTGGATAGCGCTGTCCACTGGATAAAACTCTATCTCATGGATAACACTATACGTTTATCTATCACTCATCCGCTGGATAGCAATTTATCTGTTGGATCGCATTATCTGCCCTTAATACAACTGCGCCCTGGTCTAATTTGTACACCAGGCGATTGTTCCGGGTAGGCTAACCTTAAAAATTATTTGTGAAAATTTCCTGAACCTGTTGTTGTTTGAATGTGTGACTCGATTTTACCTCAATAACCTAAACTAAATAAATTGAAACTTGAAATTGAACTACAGGTTTACAGGAAATCTACATGTGCATGTGTTTTCAACATATAAAACCAGGATTATGACTAATTTGAATGACTTTACTATCTGTACAGGCAGGTGTTGTAAAAAAAGTTTGCTTCGCTTTTTCATTAGTACACATTTCATTTTCTAAGAATCTTGATTTTCCCGCCTATGCTGAATTCTAAGTTTTCAACCAAATTTTCTCTTTTTTTTGAATATTCTTAGATTCCTTAGCATCAGTTAATATTCATGTAATTAAAATAATTAAATGAACTCTTACAGATGTATGGTACGTTATTTTTTCCTCTGATCTTACTGACATTTTATTTTGTATAGGGATTGGTATTGGCTCTAAAAGTATAGTCATATTAAAGTTTTGTGCACAGCCTTATTATGCATCAAATTGATGTAATAAAATATTGTATCCTTATTAAAACTAGTTTATCAGAATAAGAATGAGTTACCAGGCACAAGTATGGCTTTTGGGATGAAAGTTTACAGGTTTGAAAAAAGTCATTGCCCATTAAAATGATCTTAGTTCCTTTGCCCTGACAGCCCAACCTTATCAAAACATTGCCAACAGGAGTGATTAGCAAATTAATGATGCAGACAATAAAGCCTATTCCCACATGCACCATTCTCAATCCTGTTTGCTTATTATGGACATGGTATTTGAAACATGGTGTATATGCCACAAATATTCCATTTCCCTGACTAACTATTTTGTAATAGTGTTTATAAGTTGTGGAAAATGGTTGGGTTGAAATATAATACAAAGACTTGCCAGACTACAACTTAACGGCTTAGGAATTGTTCAAAATAAATTTAGTCTAAATGCGCCTGTTTGTAACCAGTTGTCGCGTTCTGATTAGAAACCCCCGCCCGAATGCTCATTTCATAGCTTTCGTCATCGGTGAACATGCTATTCTCGAAAACTGGTTCATTCATCTCGCCGTTTATTAGAAAAAGCGGTAAGTTTTACTCGCTTATTTTAATGGTGTTGTGTTACAGTGTGATAACCTGTCAAAACTAAGTCTTGCTCTGACTCGTAAGCAATTTTTAAGAGAAACTGGACTTGCTCTTTGTTTCCATATTTGTCAAATCATTGATCGATGTTCACCAAATTGCGCGAAAAATGGGAACATAAAAATTTACAGCACGATACATGTAGTTCAAGTTTGTTTAAGAATCGCCGGCGCGTGCAATTGGGCAAAACATCAATACCATGGGCTGATGACAGACTTTAGAGTTTGTTTTGAAATATCTCAAAATTATTGACAGACGCTTGCGTAATATGATACTGAACGGTAGTTCAGTATCATATATATAAAGCCTATTCGGTTTTCAGATGAATTTTCGTCTTTGACATTGCGATTTACTATAACTTGACCTTTCATCGTTGTAATATGATGCGCTCCGCAATCAAACAAATCATCAAGAGCGATGCGAAATGAAACTGTCTACATTCCTTTACGTAGACTCTGAAGCTGGCAATGATTGCAATGAATAAAACAGAACATCAGTCCCAATCTTAAACTGTATATTTTCCTTCTGATCCTCATCGAAGGTGATCAAGGTAGATTCGAAGTTTCGAAGAAATCATCACCTGCGATGCCAACACCAAATTGTTTCCATTCCGCGACATAAACATCTTTGAGAGCGCTGATTGCAATCAATAAATTGGGAAGCATATTAGTGAGTATTTGTTTCGTTACTCGCTCAATGAAACTCGTGTTTCGATGCCTTGAGTAAGTGACATTTTCCTTCCCAGCTGATTCATCAACAACTCAAATCAAGCAAATCTACTACTCCGCTTTTAGGCTCGACTTAATCTATATATTATACGTATCAATCAAATTTACATTTAGATTCGTAACGTGACTTGCGTGACGTGCAAAAAAGTGATTGCCATAAAAATGATTGGTTACACAGCGGCTGCGTCTGTCTTGACTTTTGTACCAAGATGGAGTCCTTCGTCGACAGTAAGCTGGTGACAGATGAGCATGAATCGTTCAAGATTCGCCTGATAACGACTGAAGAAGAAATGCAAAGGTTTGCAATAGAACCAATGGCGAAGGAAGGCTGGCGACCGGGCTTAAAGGACGCCGAATTTTTTCTCGCTTGTGATCCCACGGCAGCTTTCGTTGGTGAACTGAACGGGAAACCCATAGCCATTGTTAGAATTTCAAAATATAGCGATAGCTTTGCTTTCATCGGAGCTTATCTGGTGGACAAGGCATATAGAGGAAAGGGATACGGTTTGAAGATCTTCAATGCCGCCGTTTCAAGTGTGAAGCCAACCAGCAACATCGGATTATATGCTTTGCTTCACCTCGAGAAAATGTATGAAAGAAGCGGATTTCGAAGTCACTTTCATGCGGCACGCTATGACTTCCATCTCCCGACAACCATAGCCTGTTTCCCTGAAATACTGGAGAAAATTTCCGTAGAAGTCAAAGCTATAGAGGACGTAGAACTTGAGGATTTATTCCTGTACGACACGAATGTATTCGGCTTCGAACGTCACGCATTCTTAACGAAATGGCTCTGCTCATCAAGTAGTCACGGATATGTGGCCGTCAACCGTGCAGGTTCCATTGTGGGTTACATTTCTGCCCGACCGACTTTTCTCAAAGAGGATGGTTACAGAATAGGACCTCTGTTTGCGGATTCTAAAGCCATTGCAGAGAAGCTTCTAAAAGCATTGTTCGAGAAGCTTCTTCATCAAGAGAAAGCTGCCCCATTGGTTTGCATGGATGCCCCATCAAAGCTGGGGATGGAACTTGGAGAAGAGCTTCAGGGAAGAAAGGTGTTTGATCTGGTGTATATGCTGACAAAGGGTCTCCCTAATACATGTTTTGAAAAGCAGTTTGGTGTAACCGCAGTTGAACTTGGATGAGTTAAAAAGGTACTCAGCACCAAGTTGTAGCTTCGTTTTTCTCCATTAGCTATTCACAATCATCAGTATTCTTCCATAAAATTTAGAATGTTTTAATATGATTTGCCGGGAAAAATAAAGCAGAACTATGGTCCAAATTGGTAGATTTTTTAAATTTCCATTGTAAGAGATGCTTTCATTAATTAATGCTGAATTTAAATAAAGAGTTATGCACTTCTCACTTATGACAAGGTGGGGGTTCTTAAGTGTATAGTTTGAAACATAGCATGTGTATTTCGCTTTCTACAACATTTTCTGGTCAAATAACAAGCTTGAGAGTGATTCAACTTGTCTTGTGATTGTTTCAACCGGCATATTGATTTTGTTACGGGAAATTTTACTGATTTTTCCGTGTGTTTGTTTAGAGCATATTTATTCGTAAACTTTTACATTTAACCATTTCAAGTCCTCTCATTCTAGTAAATCAAAAAATGTTTAAAAACCACAATAGCTTTTGGAATAGATTTTTTTCACTCGCTTTCATTATATGCACCTGCTTGTCGGCACTTTTGTTATTTATTACATGGTTTTTTTAGGTAAATGTAAGTGTTAATGGTCTTTATTGAAAAATTGGTTCTCATGGTAGTTTAATTTCTTTTCATAGGATAGTTTCCACACCAACCTTGCATAGATATAAGCAGAAACTTTTCATTGCTTTTCCGTTTTTATTTCCTAAGCTGCTCTGCTGCAATTAAAATAAGTATTATTTTCTATACCAGAGCTATGAATTCGCCTCTAAGTTTCCTATTTTTAACGGCGTCGAGTTTATTGTATCCATCTTTGAATTTTGAGATTATTTTCGTCGTAGAAACAGATGAAATATCAAAGTAATTTTCGTTCATCTTCAAAGAGACCTTTTCCGCTCCTTTGTGTCCTTATTAAAATATTGCGATCTGTGTAACAATAGCACCTCACACCAGTTAGTTATTAAGCAAGTACCTTGTACAGTTTTGATGATTACAGTTTTAGTTTTGACTCTAGCATGTTGTGTGTTAGAGCGCTCTGCGAATAAAAGTCTACTGTGGAACCAAAACACTCTCTCCTCCTTGACGTCCGTACAAGCTCACTAGAAGTAGATCTCCGTGTGCCAGGAAATCGTGATGAGTTTCAGTTCTCGCAAGCCGAGTGGTCTCTACCGAGCTAATTTCCCCCCGTTTGTACGTTCCCGCGAAAAGTCCAGTTGGAGTGCGCGAAAACTTATCGTCACAATTTATTAAATTCATTGAACCTCTCCCTCTCCCCCTCTCCCCCCCCCTCTCCCCCTCTCCCCCCCCTTCCTTTGCTCTTTCGTCAGAAAAATCATCTAAGTTTAAATTGTTGAAAGTAAAAAATACAACTGAAATCTTAACAATAATGCGATACAGCTGAAAAGGAGTTTCATGGTAGCTGGTGCCAAATAATGTTACCGCTGCCAAGTGGGTCAGTCGTGCGTCCTCAGAAGGTAGAATATAATCCCACAAAAAGTGAAATTTACAGTTTGCTTCCTTTGATGTCACGACTTTCTTTATCTAGTTTTATGTGTCAAATCCCCTTCTATTTCATAGTAAAGCTTATACAGTTAGTCATCGTAGTCACTAACATTGGCAGCTAATTTATCGTTTGTCTCCCGATGTATTCAAAGATTATGTCGATTTTTTGTACTTCATCTTATATAAACTCACGGACAGTGCCATGCTTTGCCATGGTCGTCTCTTGGAGTACTGTCTGCTGTCGCACTGCCGCTCCATACGCTCAAGCCCAATCCCGCATAATATCGCTATTTGCTTAAGACATATCAACGGTTGGAAGTGGCTTTATTAAAGGGACTTTAGAGAATGGTATTGTCTCCTCTGGTTTTGGCTACCATTACTTCCTACTTGTATGATAAAACAAGCCCCATTGTGTCACCCTCGTGATTGATTCTTTCATGGTCAGTTCAAAGGATCTAGCATACTCCATCATGGACATGTTGGCCTGTTTGATATGAACAGTGGAATGGCAATTCTCTACGTCCAGTGTCATACAACAGACTAGTTGAACTGTAATCGAATGGTTGCAAATTACTGCACAATCTCTGCCGCCCCCATTCAAGAAGTGCAACTGAGGCCACAGTCCTTGTGGAAACATTACCCTCAGGTCGATTAATGGAGCTTGTAATGCCAGTACTGCCTGTGATGTGTCACCCTCAGTAAATAAATTTATTCTAATTGTTATTACTATTCATCTGTATTTTAATATAAAACATGTTGCATGTCAATGTGCATGTTGTGCCTTGTGCTTCTTGTTTTCGAATCTTCTCTTCTTTAGAACGAACAAGATTTTCAACGGGTGATGTACAGTGCTCACTTTGTTGACCAATGGATGTGGCTGCAAGTTGCTGTTCATCTTCAGAAGTGGGTTGCTGAATCTCAGTTTCAAATTCTTTCTTTCTCTTCTTTGGTGGTGCAGGGGAATACCACACTTCGGCCTGAACATTGATTCTCTTCCAGTTTGATCCAGGGACATCCCGGACACACCAGAACCGTTCCTAATGACGGCTTCCTCCAAGTTCACCTAACAGTTTTCATCGTCAAGATAGCGAACTCGTATTTGATCGCAACTTATATCCTGAAATGTTTCGGTTATCTCTTTCACTCTCCTTACAAATCCGTAATAACTGAAATCGTCCGTCGAAGAGGTGAAAAAAGTTTTGCATTTTTTAATATAATTTTTCTGGGGTGCTAACAGTTTAGTGATTTCGGTAGTAATTGCAGTGTGAGAAGATAAAACTGAAGTGTTGCAAAGTTTTCTTTCCAGATTGAATTCAGGTGAGAACATTGGTATACTAGTTAATGTCATATGCTTCTCCTGAATCTTTGCCCTGGTTTTTTTTTTTTGGCAAAGCCTCTTTTATATCTGTGTGCCAGCTAATGATTGAAATCTCAGTGAACAAAAATGCCACATTTTAGTAGTTTTTTTAAATTCCTCCTTTAAGTTTTTGGTATTAACTGTTCTAAAATTCATAACCGGCATTTCCTTTCATCCTTGTAGAAATATTACACATTTCTATAAATAAAAACCTGAATCATGAAGTCAACTTAATTTCAATGAGTTTTAAATTTCATTCTACATAAAAACACTTTACTGGAGTATGATGTTACATTTATTCACTGTCTTTCTGGTGCATACGAGAGGTGTCTTAACCCTTTAACTCCCAAGATTTCATCAGAAATTCTCATTATTGTCTGCCATATAATTTATGTGATGTAAGTTTAGAGAAATCGGAATTTGATCAACCAATAATCCCCTAATTGATATTTTTCTTTATTCTCATTACTTGTCTGCTTGATATCATATTGATAGTGTGAGGAGAAATTCTGTCTTGAAGTCTCTAGTGGGACTTTTTGGTGTTAAAATTGGGAATTTCATCTTATTTTAATGTTAAAATATTCTTATGCTTTCAAATGTAACAAAAAAAATTTGATGAGAATGTGATGTTATGAAACACTTACAATGGGAAAACCTGTTGCTGGTAGCTTATGTCTTTAATGTTTAAATTTTCATGGGAAATGCTTTTCTTTGAAAGCGGGGATACAGGAGTTTTCAAAGATGATAGAAATAAGCTGTTTGCAAGTAATAAAAAGCAAATCAACATCCATACTTTAATGCTTGACATGCTTTATTTATACATGTCATTTGTATGTACCTACCACTGTAGTAGTGTCTCTAAAAAGATTTTTTGGTGTAGCTGTTGTTCTTTGTTAATCTTTGTGGCCAAAAAAGCTGCTGAAGGCACTGAACTTCAATTTTTATGTACCAAGGCAGTGTCACCTTCCAAGGTGGAAGAGTAGAAGATCATAGAATGATGTTTATGAGGCACTTTCACTTACTGCAATTACATATTCAAGTAAAACTTTACATTTAGGAAAGCACACAAACAAATAAACAGATTGAAGACAATGAAACGAGGGAAACTGTAAACTTTACCATTTGATAGAAAAAAACTCACAGAATACTTAAGAAGGGAAACTTGAATTATGCTACCTAATTTCCTCTATTGCCCTTCATGTTTTTGATCAAATCAAATTTAATTAGTCATTATTAGGGTTTGCCTGCAATGTGTCAAATTACCAGTGTGGACTTGATTCTTTTCATATATCAGCTGGTAAAATTAGATGTCCATAAGAAAAAGAACACATCATCAAAAAAATCACACTTAATCCTTTACACCCTAACATCATTATGCATATTTTCCATACTTTTCTTCATACATTTCCTTAGGTGCTAACAAGGAGAATTTGTTTTCCCATCAAGAGCTTCTTTTGTTGGTGATCATTTCCTTCATTCTCATGACCTTAATTTATGATTCAGAAATGATATTGTAAGGAGACTATGCTAGTCATTTTTAAGGGTTAAAGGGTTAAGTGGTGAAGCAATTGATTTGTAATCTTTGGAATGACAGAAGCAGTAAAAACACATTGAGCTTTTTCCTATTCACCAGTAAGTTAATTAGATTTTGGATTCTACATTCAAACTGGGTGAGATTAAATTTATTCATATCATGCTTCATTACGGTTTGTTTACATGGAAAGGTAACTCATTATCGCTTCACAGATGTTTTGGTTGCCGTCACAATGAACATTCATGACAAAATTTCATTTAACAAAGAATGTTTCAAGAACTTTCTTCCTTCCTCTTCAATACAATTTACTATTTCTGGAGTACAATAAAAGGAAGCAGGTTATTCAGAGGTTGATAAATTTTGATTCAGGTAATTATTTGAATATGTGAGTAACATTTGATGTTTTCACATGTAACAGGATGATCAAGCTGAAGATAGCCTCAAAAAGGAGTGAACTCCACTGTAACAATTAGGTGACTAATTTGGAAACTTGAGCACTTGGTAAATACACCTTGGCTTGCAATTCTGATGATTACAGTTTGCTGAGGTAATTGAAATGTCAGTCCCCATGCAGAACTTTCCACATGACCAGTCATATGCTATGAGATAATTTTAGAAAAATGTATTTGTGTCAGTGGAACTATTGTAAGTACAGTACCACCTAGTGACATAAATGATTTCCTGTAAGCATAAACGTTTGGGAGAAGTTTTGGTGGTAATTGACCCTTTCTTTGCTAGGGTGCATAGGGTTTGATGATTGTAATGTACATCTTTTAGCTTTCAAACTTTCAACTTTTGTATTAATTGTAACTGTTTGCCACATCTGTTTCTCTGTACCTTGAGCCCTCAAAGTTTAAGCGGGTGAGTCAATAACCTGACTTTATTTGTTTGGAATTGTGTGATTATATAATTTTGCTGTGTAAGTTATCACATTGTAACATGCAATATTATCAGTTAGATTGCATTAAAGACTCTTGCGCAAGCTTCTGTTAATGCATGGTG